TAATCCCTGAGCACTGTCAGGTGTGCCCCCCAAAAAAGGCAACCACAAGATGTACCTAAAGGGGGCTGGAGCGATAGCATGGGGGGTAGGGTGTTTGCCTTGCATGTGGCTGGACTGGGTTCGATTTTCACCATCCCATATGGTTCCCTGAGCACCGCCAGGAGTAACTCCTAAGTGCATGAGCCAGGAGTAACCCTTGTGCAATGCCAGGTATGCCCCAAAAAGAAAAAAAGAAGATGTACCTTAAGTTCAAGGCTGGAGCGATAACACAGCCGGTAGGGTGTTTGCCTTGCACACAGCCAACATGGCCGACCCGAGTTTGATTCCTCCACCCCTCTCAGAGAGCCTGGCAAGCTACCGAGAGTATCTCGCCCGTATGGCAAAGCCTGGCAAGTTCCCCGTGACGTATTCGATATGCCAAACACAGTAACAACAAGTCTCACGATGAAGACGTTACTGGGCCCACTCGAGCAAATCAATGAACAACGGGAGGACAGTGACAGTGACAGACCTTAAGTTCATGACTTTTTAAAATCTCAGCCTGTTGGGCTGGAGCAATAGCACAGTGGGTAGGGAACTGCACGTGGTCAACCAGGGTTCAATTGCCAGCATCACAAATGGTCCCTGAGCACCACCGGGGGTAACTCCTGAGTGCAGAGTCAGGAATAACCCCTGTGCATCACCGGGTGTGACCCAAAAAGCAAAAATATATATATATAAATCTCACATGGCTTTGAGGCCAGCCGCACACACTAGGGGAGAAGGTAGCTCAGATAGAGAAGGGAGCACAAAGTAAAGGGTGTTAGGAGGTTCCTCTCACGATGGGAGATGCGTGATGAGAGTAGACTATAGACCGAACATGATTGCCACTCAATGTCTCTTTTGCAAACCACAGCACTCAAAAGGAGAGAGAGAAAAGGGAATGCCCTGCCACAGAGGTAGGGTGGGAAGGAGAGGATGGGGGGTGGGAGGGATACTGGGATTAGTGGTGGTGGAGAATGGGCACTGGTGGAGGGATGGGTATTCGATCATTGTATAACCGAAACCCAAGCACAAAAATTTGTAAGTCTATAACTGTACCTCATGGTGTTTCACTAATAAAAATTTAAGGAAAAAACAAAGATATATATCTCAGCCTGTTTTGGAGGTAGAGCCAGGGAACACAGAGCCAAGAGCAAGCCCTGAGCACTGTCATGTGCACCCCAAAATAAATAAATGAAAGGAAAAAGGAAAAGGAAAATCAATCATAGGGTGTACCATAAGTTGCCGGCTTTCTTTTTCAGCTTGTTTTGGGGGTAGTGTCAGGGAATAAGCCCAGGGCCTTACATATCCTATCAAATGGTTCTCCTACTGAGCCCCATAAGGACCTGTTTCTACCTTAAACGGCAACACAGGAAAGGGCAGAAAGCTATAGTGATACTACAACTGTCTAGATTTAGATCTTAGCATAGACCAGCAACACGCGAGTGTGCATATATCCACGTATATGACCAACTTAAGCTATGTAAAAATTCTAAGTCTGTGCTTAAACGCATCTTGAATTCGAGCAAGTCCTAAATGAAGTAGAGTTTCTGAGTAGGAAAAAAAGTGCCACAAAGGAAGAGCTTTTAATGGGCCCGGGGAATTGGGCTCATTGGACTTAAATGGTTGCACCACAGCAGCGCAACTGATGGGAATGTAGAAAAGGGCAAAGCCTTGGGCTGCGGTAATTAATAATTAACGGAGAGAATAAAGGTTGAATGCTAAAGACTGAGGAGTGGTTTTGCTCTCCTCGAAAAAAAGAAATAGAAGGCACAGAGATAATACTGCTTCAGAAAGCAGCAGCAACCAAACAAATGTACTAAATTTCATTTGATTTTCATGGATGTTTCCTTTGTTTTAATTTTATGGTGGAGGGGGGCTCCTTTGCAGTGTTCAGGGAACATGGGGGTCATTCCCCAAAGTACTGAGCCTCAGTAAGTGGGCCTGACAGTTCAGTGCTTAGGCCTGGCAGTGTGGTGCTGTTGGGCCCAGGTCACACCAGCAGAGCTACTGAGGGTCTGTAAGCTGCCAGGGATCCAATCCGGGGTGTCACACACACATTTTGCACAGTCAGTCAATTGGGCTAACTCCTGGCCTCTGACCTAGTATTAAAGAACCTAGGAGCATTCCTTTCTTCCTGGAGGGCTCAAGGGCCACAACTGGCAGTTCTCAGGGGTTATTTCTAAGCTCCGTGCTGGCGCTTGTGGGGGTATGAGCAATATCCGGTGCTGGGGACGGAACCTTGGTCTACCATATGCAAAGCAGGTGGCCTAGCCTGCTGAGCTAGCTCTCTGGTCTGAGAGGGTCCACTGTTTAAGGAAAATGGCGACTCATAGGAACTATGACACCAACACATAACCCAAAACGGTAGAGAGCAGGGACTCCTCAAGTGGGCTAGAACAATCCAGAGGGGTGGTAGGGACCCTCTCTGTTTGTCCCCCTAGATTTCTAGGGGGCTAGTGATTTTTTTCTCCTGGAAAGAAGGTTTGAACAATTCTGGTCTGGAATAATAAAATTCAAACATTCCCAATCACCAAAGAAATTGGGTATGACAAAATTCACATGTCAAGATCACACTGATTTTGAGAGGTAAAGCAAATCTCAATAGAAATTTGAAAATTAAAAAACAAACGGTGTTGGCGTGGGTGTGGTGAGAAGGGGACTCTCCTTCATTGCTGGTGGGAATGCTGACTAGAAATTGAGCTCCCATTTGACCCAGCAATACCACTTCTGGGAATATATCCCAGAGATTCAAAACACTATAGTAGAAATGACATCTGCACTTGTATGTTTACTGCAGCACTATTTACAATAGCCAGAATATGGAAAAAACCCGAGTGCCCGAGAACAGATGACTGGTTAAAGAAATTTTGGTAAATATACACAATGGAATACTATGTAGCTGTTAGAAAAGATGAAATCATGAAATTTGCATATAAGTTAATCAACATGGAGAATATCATGCGAATTGAAATGAGTCAGAGAGAGAGAGGGACAGACATAGAATGACTGTACTCATTTGTGGAACATAAAGTAACAGAATGGAAGACTATCACCCAAGGATAATATTAAAAAGGCTCCATGGCTTGGAAGCCGGCCTCACATGCTGGGGAAAAAGGCAGCTGAGATAGAGAAGGAACCACTAAGTGAATGATACTTGAAGGGCTCGCTCAGGATGGGAGATGCATGCTGAAAGTAGACTATAAAGCAAACATGATGGCCACTTACTACCTGTATTGCAAACCATAAAACCCAAAAGGAAAGAGAGAGTAAAGGGAATGTGCCTGCCACTGAGGCAGGAGTGGGGATGGGATGGGGGTGGTGGGAGGGATACTGGGAACACTGGTGGTGGAGAATGGAAACTGGTGGAGGGATGGGTGGATACTCGATCATTATATGATTGAAACACAATCATTAAAGTTTTTAAGTCTTCAACTATATATCATGGTGATTCATTAAAAAATACATTTAAAATTTTTTTTGAAAAATAATGGAGGGCTGGAGCAATAGTACAGCGGGTAGGGCGTTTGCCTTGCACACGGCCAGCCCAGGTTCGATTTCCAGCATCTCATATGGTCCCCCAAGCACCTCCAGGAGTGATTCCTGAGTTCAGAGCCAGGAGTAACCCCTGAGCATCGGCTGGGTGTGACCCAAAAAGCAAAAAAAAAAAAATAAAATAGTGGAGGGGCCGGAGAGATACTACAGAGCAGATAGGGTATCTGCCATGCAAGTAGCCAAGTTTGACCCCCCCAAGCCCTGCTGAATTATCCCTGAGCATAGAGCCATGAGTAAGCCTTGAACACCACTGCTTATAATTGAAAAAAAATTTTTTTAAGTTAAATTAAGTACAGGGGTAAAGGCACTGCCTTGTATATGCAGTCAATCCTTACTTGTTCCCCAGCAAAACATATGGTCCCTCAAGCACCACCAGAGGTCTCTCCTGAGCAAAGAACCAGAAATAGCCCAGAGTATGCCAGCTCTGACTTCCACCCCCAAAATACGTTAACGAAGTTATTTTAATTAAATACATGTGTATGTACCATGACCACATTTTTTTAATCCCACTGATTCTGGTTCAATCCATAAGCAGTGTTAACATGGCTTGCTGTTTCGCTACTGAAAGCATTTGAGACACAGGCAGAGTGGCTAAACCAAGAGCGGCTTCTCCACTGTGCCAGTGCTCTCCTCTCCATGCTCTCTAGGAAGCACTTAGTAAACCTCATTTATCAGGGGCTGGAGCAGTGGGTAGGGCATTTGCCTTGCACGTGGCCGACCCGGGTTCGATCCCCAGCATCCCATATGGTCCCCCACACAAGCACCGCCAGGAGTGATTCCTGAGTGCAGAGCCAGGAGTAACCCCTGAGCATCGCTGGGTGTGACCCAAAAACAGCAAAAAAAAAAAACCCCAAAAAACCTCATTTATCAGACCTAGCTGCAAATAACTTACATCATCCCCACCAACAAACCTTCACCATCAGTAAAGACAGTTAAAGAGAAAAGTAGCTCCGAATGGCTCAGAGAGATAGTATAGAGGTATTAAGTATTAAGGTAAGGTGCTTGCCTTAAAGACAAGCCATGCATTCCATCCCAGTTCCCTAGTTCGATCCCCACCACCACATTTGAACCCCTGAGCATCACCAGGGTTCACTCATCACACAGAGCCAGGAACAGACCCTAAGCAACACAAGGTGTGGCCCCAAACCACACCCCACCAATGTAACTCAAAAGTGCAACAGAAATTCCTAAGAGGTGACTTTTCAAATTACAAACAAAACAAAACCTTAACAATAAGTAGAAAGCCTGAAACGTGACAATTTTTTAAAAAGATTAATAATAATATCCACTTGCCAGAAAGCACTAGTGAATACATTAGAAAATAGTACTGTGACCAAGTGCATGGAACATGTAAGTATGCTGTGCAGAACGAAAATAAGTCCCACTGGAAAACCTGTTTTTATTTTTTAAAGGATCATACTTACGCAGTAACTCTTTAGTCTGATGAAATCGACGGTCATAGGAATTGATCGGTCACTGTTTCTGTTTAGTGCTTTGATGTAATCCAGCAGGTCAGCAAAGAATTTGTAGCCCCCCTTGAGCACACATAGGGCTACAATGTGATGGCCTCCCATCTCCTTCATCACGTCACGAGCGAGCCGCTCTGTCCTGTGGGAATCAATCAATTGGGAAGCAATTGGTATTATAACAGAGATATAGTTCAGTGTCATCGCAAACAACCTTCACACATTCCAGCTGCCCCAGAACAAGAGCCCAGGATGTAGTCCCGCAACAGAGAACTCATCTGGCATCTGTGAGACCCTGGGCACCATCTCCTGGCACTGCAAAAAGAAAAGAAAAAAAAACACCTCCAATGAAAGTCACACATTTAAACTCTGGTTTTAGGGCCACACTCAGCGGTGCTCAAAGGCTACTTTAGCTGTAAGCCGAGGGTCACTCTGAGCAATCCTCATGGAATGATTGTGGGACCAGGGACTGAGCCCAAGCATCCTGCATGCAGAGCATGCACTCAGCTCGTTGATCCCCCTCTCCAGCACCCACAAAATTCATTCCTTTAAAGGTGGGGGCACAGGGCTGGAGTGATAGCACAGCGAGTAGGGCATTTGCCTTGCATGTGGGCCGACCCAGGTTTGAATTTCAGCATCCCATATGGTCCCCTGAGCACAGCTAGGAGTAATTCCTGAGTGCAGAGCCAGGAGTAACCCCTGTGCATTGCCAAGTGTGACCCAAAAAGCAAATAAATAAATAAATAAAAATAAAAATAAATACAAAATAAAGGTGAGGGCACATGCTATACCATGCAGTCCCCCAGGTTTGATCCCACAAAATATATTCTTGCTTACAAGGTGAAAATTAAAAATTCCAAACAAGGCTAGGGAGATAGATAGCTCAAGGGGCTGAAATGCATGCTCTGTATGCAGGAAGCCCAGATTTAATTCATGGCTCTGCATGATCCCACAAGCACTGAGCTGCGAACAGCCTGCAAGTAGCACTGGGTGTTGGTCCCCGCCGAACCAAAAACAAAGCATTTCAAACATCGAACATGTCATGATATCTTTACTAAGTCTAAAATACTCAAATTCAAATGAAAATACCCTTTTCACCTCACTGATTGGCAAGTTCTGAGTAAATAACATCTCCCTAATAACTTAAAGTATTCGAAGAGGCTGGCAGGAGAAAGGAACTCTCATATACCGGTGGGAATCTACCAATTATTGCAACCTCTTAGGAATAATTTGGCAGTATCCAATACTGGATTCAACAGTTGACCCAGAATTTCCACACAAAATTGATCAAGTGTCCAAACAAGTGGAAAAGGATATTTGTTCCTTTTTAGAACGCTCAGTAATAGCAAAAGAACAAGATCTTACATGTTCATGAACAGGAAACAGGTAAGAGCAATCATGGAATATTGAGAAAGTACAAGGTTACACAACATGCTCAGTCATACATCAATATATGGGCTCATTCTGAATGCACTACTATAAAAATTTCAGATCTACTTTAGGTCTTTATGCCTTTATGTTAAAAAGCCTATGAGGGCCAGAGAGATAGTACAGCAGGTAAAGCACTTGCCTTGCAAATGGCTGACCCAGAATCAATCCCTGGCACCACACAGCCCTGTCAGGAGTAATCCCTGAACAGAGCCAGGAATAAGCCATGAGTACAGCAGAGTATGCCCCCAAATCAACAGCAACAAAAAGTAGATGAGTCAGATAGTACAGGGGTTAAGGCACAGGCCTTGCATGTGGCTGACACTGCACAATGTCCTTTGAGTACCACCAGGGGTCACTCCTGAGTACAGAGTACGCCTGAGTGTGGCCGGCAGTCTGTGGCAGTGTGCTCCGGTGCGCCCACCCCCACCCTGCTCCCCCGCCCCTGCAAATATACAGGTATATTTACATACTATATTTACATAGAGTACCCATGCATCCTGGGTTCGATTCCTCTGTCCCTCTCAGAGAGCCCGGCAGCTTGCAAGCTACTGAGAGTGAGTGTCTTGGCCGGAAGGCAAAGCCTGGCAAGCTCCCCGTGACATATTCAATACGCCAAAAAAAAAAAAAAAGTAACAAGTCTCACAATTTGTTGTGAGACGTTACTGGTGATCGCTCAAGCAAATCGATGAACAACGGGAGGACAGTGCAGTGCTACCCATGCATTTTGTGTGTGTGTGTGTGTGTGTGTGTGTGTGTGTGTGTGTAGAGAGAGAGGAAATGTGCACAGGAGGGCAAAGGAAAGAACTTTTATCTTTTCTCATTTATAGTCTTCCTTGTCAGTACATTTTATAACAACACTGGTATAATTTTTTAATTAAAAAAGGGGAGAAATATGGAAGGGAGCTTGGGAATATTGTTGGAAGGAAGTTGACACTGGTGGTGGGATCAGTGCTACAATACTGTGTGTCTAAAACAACTATGAGTAACTTTGCAAATTACAGTTCTTTAATATTTATTTTTAATTATTGAGAAAGTATGAATATATTTCCATATAATAAATGTGGATTTTTCTCAAAAAGAAAAAAAAATATATATATAGCCAGACACAGGACAGATGGATAGTACAGCAAGGCCCTGCATGCAGCAGACTGAGGTTCAGTCCCTCTCTGGGCTCCCAGCACCACCAGGAGCAACTCCAGAGCCCAGCGCCAGGAAGAAGCCTGAGTACCAACAAGTGTGGCCCAAAAGAAAATAAAAACAGCCAGACACAAGACCAGCTAATTCTAATGGCATTCATTTCGGGGGTGGGGGAGGATTTCTAGCTAAAAGCAGATAATCAAGAAAATCTGACCTTACCTTCATGCGCTTCAGTTCTGGCCCATCACTCTGTTCAAGGCTGAGAAATCAAAGACTCTGGGACTAGAGTTTATTCTTTCAATTGCACTCAAGTGTATACTTTATTCTACTCCCCATGGACTCTCCGTATATCATAACTTAGACTGCGTAATTAGTAAGTCCTGCCTCCTTTCCTTGTAAACAGGGCTTTGAAAACTAAAAGCAGCTATTATTGACAAACTGGCCTCATGTATGGTCTAATACTAATGCAAAAGAGTTGCTGCCACTTGAAATGAAGGTAAGAGAAAAAACAAAGAACATCAATGTAAGAGCTTACTAACCTGTCCATAATTAGTCCATGAGGAATAAACACCTTCTCCAAATCCTCGATGTAGTGATTAGGAATACAAAATAAGTCGAGGTCAAAACCTGGTTCATCATCACTGATCTGAAAAATAAAATACAGTTGTGTCAATCAAAGTATTTGGTCGAGCGGGCCCAGTAACGTCTCCATTGGAGACTTTGTTGTTACTGTGTTTGGCATATCGAATACGTCACAGGGAGCTTGCCAGGCCCTGCCGTGTGGGCGAGCTACTCTCAATCAAAGTATTACAGCGCACAAATACTTGATTGCATGTAGAGGTTAAGAAACATTTATCTATCAGAGCAATTTAGACAGCTGTCATCAAAAGTGATAAATTAGACCAAGAAGTCACCCATGTGTGTTAAGAGACAAAGAGACTACATAAAAGCAAAAGTATCTGCTTAAGATGATGAAAGTGGGGCCAGAACAATAGTACAGTGGGTAAGGCATTTGCCTTGCATGTGGCTGACCTGGATTCGATCCCATAGGGTCCCCCAAGCACTGCCAGGAGTAATTCCTGAGTGCAGAGTCAAGAGTAACCCCTGGGTATCGCCAGGTATGACCCATATAGCCAAAAAGGCAAAAAATAAAGACTATGAAAATATTATGACTGAGAGTACAGTGGCTATAATGCTTGCCTTACCCATACCCCCATTGGGTCCCCCAAAGCAGCCAAGAGTGATCCCCAAGTTCAGAGCCTGGAATAAGCTCTAAGCACAGCCAGACATGGCCCCCAAAAAAAGATTATGAAAGTATGATCTTGGGATAGGGGTTTCCTCACACTATTTACTCCATTTTTGAGTATTTTTGAAAATTTACTTTAAAAACTGTAAGGATGGGTCCCCAGAACCCCACATGATCCTTGAGTCCCCACAATAGTGATTCCTGATCACAGAGTCAGGAGTAAGCTTTGAGAACTGCTGAATGTGGCCCCAAATCAAAAATACATGGAGGAAGGGCCAGAGAGATAGTAGTACACGGTGTTAAGGTGCTTGCTCATGGATGACCCAGGTTCGATCCCTGACACTGCATGGGATATACCACCCAATTGCCCAAAGCACCACTGGGTAGGGCTCACCCGCAAAACACAACTCTTAGGGTGCTGGAGAGACAGTACAGGGAGTACAGTGCTTTCCTTGCATATAGTGAACCCTGATTTGATCCCCAACATCACATATGGTCCCCTGAGCACTGCCAGGGGTCACTTCTAAGCACAGAACCAGGAACAGACCAAATTCCACCTTCAGAAAACATTTTAAAAAATTAAAATGTGGGGCTGGAGCCATAGCACAGCAGGTAGGGCATTTGCCTTGCATGCGGCCAACACAGGTTCGAACCCCAGCATCCCATTTGGTCTCCCGAGCATCGCCAGGAGTAATTCCTGAGTGCATAGTCAGGAGGATCCGCTGTGCATCGCCAGGTGTGACCCAAAAAGCAAAAATTAAAAAAAATTAAAATGTTTAGGGGCTGGAGCAATAGCATAGCGGGTAAGGCGTTTGCCTTGCACGCGACCAACCCAGGTTCGATCCCCGGCATCCCATATGGTCACCCAAGCACCGCCAGGAGTAATTCCCGAGTGCAAAGCCAGGAGTAACCCCTGAGCATTGCTGGATGTGACCCCCCCAAAAAAGAAAAAGAAATAAATAAAATAAATTGGCTTCTTTAAAAAAATGTTTAGGGGTAGGCTGTGGTTGTGTGTGAGACAAGTTCAATTCCAGGCACCACAAACATATGAAAAAAATAGGGGCTGCAGAGACAGTTCATGCAGTAAATTACATGCCTGCTATATTGTAAGGCCCTGGCCTTAATCCCCCAAACCACATGCCCGCCAGCAATGCCAGTGTAGTCTGGTGATCCCAGAGCCCCCATACTGCCAGGTGTGGCACCCATTAAAACCAAAAATTAGAGGACAGACGTGTGGCCCACTGGGACAGCGCATACCTCCACGAGCAAGGCCCGGCATCACACACACACAAAAAAAAATCACACTGGGGCTAGAGCAATAGTACAGCAGGCTGACCCGGGTTTGATCCCCAGCATCCCATATGGTTCCCCGAGCACCACCAGGAGTAATTCCTGAGTGCAGAGCCAGGAGGAACCACTGAGCATTGCTGGGTGTGACCCAACAAGAAAAAAAAATAAAAACCACACTTATGAGTAGCTGAATGAGTCAGAGCACCATAGTGCACAGGAAAAACTGCTGCTCCCCACACAAAATCCAAACAGTCTCTCAATATCACAGCAGTCAACAGGAGTGGAAGGGGTAAAGGGGAGCTAGCTTTCCAGTCCAATCCATGCTGAAAACCTTCTTTCGGGGCTGGAGCGATAGCACAGCGGGTAAGGCCTTGCACATGGCCGACCCAGGTTCAATTCCCAGCATCCCATATGGTCCCCTGAGCACTACCAGGATAATTCCTGAGTGCAGAGCCAGGAGTAACCCCTGTGCATTGCCAGGTATGACCCAAAAAGCAAAAAAAATTAAAAAAAAAAAGAAAATCTTCTTTCTCCCCAGTGCCGGGGATCAAACCCAGGCCCTCAGGCATAGAGGTAAATGCTGTACCACTGAGCTACATCCCCAGTTCCAAGTTATTTTTAATAGTATGAGATTTATACATAAATATGCTGGAGCGATAGCACAGCGGGTAGGGCGTTCGCCTTACAAGCGGCCAACATGGCCGACCCGAGTTCGATTCCTCCGCCCCTCTCGGAGAGCCCGGCAAGCTACCGAGAGTATTCGATATGCCAGACACAGTAACAACAAAGTCTCCAATGGAGACGTTACTGGGCCCGCTCGAGCAAATAAAAGTATAGAGAAATTGTAAAAATATATTAAAGTTAAATGTACAAGAAAATGTGATACTGGACTGGGAAGTTAGCTTAAAGGGCCAAAGCACATGGTTTTGCCTGGGGTGGGCTTTGTGTTCAATTACTGACACTACATGGTTCCCTGAGCACTATTGGGCACAACCTCCGAGCACTGAGCTGGGAGTAATCCCAAAGCATCACTCCTGGGTGTTGTCCAAAGACCAAACAAAAATTCGAACACAAGGGGTTGAGCGATAGTATAGCGGGTAGGGTGTTTGCTTTGCATGCGGCTGACCCAGGTTCGATTCCCAGCATCCCATATGGATGGTCCCTTGAGCACTGTCAGGAGTAATTCCCAAGTGCAAAGCCAGGAGTAAACCCTGTGCTGCACCGGGTGTGACCCAAAAAGCAAAAAGAATTTTAAAAGGAAGGAAGGAGGGAAAGGAAGAAAGAAGGAAAGAAGGAAGAACGAGAGTATAGCAGGAAGGGTGTTTGCTTTGCACTAAGCCAACCCAGGTTCAATTCCCCACACCCCATATGGTCACCCCCAGAAGCACCACCAAGAGTGATCCCTGAGTACAGAGCCAGAAGTAAGCACTGAGCACCACCAGCTGTGGCCCAAAAACCAAAAATAAGAAGCAGCTTATGATGTAAGCTTTGGCAGTATTCAAGAAGGACTAGTCAAATCCCAATTAAATCAGGTAATTATCTATATGTGCTGACTCTCGGTCAGCATTGTACTAAGAACAAGCAGCCTGGGGTCTGGTGGAACAGGTCAGAGGCATAGAACCTAGATTGTTAAACTGAGTCACAACCCCATGAAGGAGTCATGGAAAATCTGTCAACGGTAAAAGTTTTCTGAATGTGCAACAATCAAAAGTTAACGCAAAAGTAAACACATAATGAATTTGAGGTATTTCTGACCGTGCTCATGCATATTGCATTTGTCAGGCAAAAAGGGGGGGGGGTCAAAGAGTATATAATGTTTATAAAGTCCTGGCTTAGAACTGCTATGCGTTGGCAGTGTGTGGTCATGTGTTCAAACCCAGGTGCACCGCATGAGTCCAACATGGTCCTGCCAGTTCTGCTGCCTGTGAAAGCCAGAACCACTGGGTATATGTAAGCACAATAGAAGGATGCCAACCATTCCCCCAGTGAGCACTGCAGCTAAAGGCGTGCAAGCACCACCGCCAGGAAGTTTGAGCCCTGGCAGGCACCTGCAATAAGCACCCCCAGAGACTCCCGACAAGCCCCTAACTAGAATGAGCATGCTTCAGCTAAAGATTGTGACTCTGGGAGCATATGCGAGAGCACTGCCATTAGAGTGTCAACTTTGGCAAGCACCACAGCCAGGCATGTGTGTGCATCCCATTGGTCACTGCAATGACAATGAAGGGAAAAGGAGGAATTAAAAAAAAAAAAGAACAAGTAGATTGGCTTTCAAGAAAGGTTTTGTTTTGGGCCCATACCTGGCTGTGTTTGGGGCTTAGTCTGGCCCTGCACTCAGGGATCACTCCTGGCGGGCTCAGGTGATCATATGGGAGGCCAGGGATGGATGAAACCCAGGTCAGCCGCACGCAAGGTAAGCACTCTATCTGCTGTACTATATTTCCTGTCCTGTAGTTTGTCAAAGGGTTAATTTGTCAGCACAAGCATAAAACACAGGGTTGAAGAGACAGTACAGAGGTTAATGTGTTGGCCTTGCATGTGGCCAACCAGGGTTCAATTCCCAGCACCGCATAGGAGTGATGCCTGAGCACTTTGGTCCCAAAATAACAACAAACACTAAAAACAGGTTAATACAACTCTTGCCAAAAGGCAAAAGCAAAAATTCACTAAAAAATGCATTGCTTGAGATACTTCTAGCATGAATTCACCGAGAAATAGGTAAGGAGCTTGCCTTGCACACACCAACATGTGTGTGATTCCCCAGAATCAACTATGTATTCCTAAGAACCGCCAGGAGTGATCCCTGAGCACAGAAGCAGGAGTAATACCCGAGCATGGCCAGGTATGGCCCCCAATCAAAAAATCTTCTGCTCTCAATTCACCATAAATGGGAGAGGTATTTTTGGATGTGGTCCTAATTTAAGAACTCGCTGAAGTTTAGGCCTTGACACATCAGACTGCAAAAACAAAAACAAAAACAAAAACAAAAACACCTGCATCCACTTGGGTCTGTGCACACAGCCAGAAAACTGGCAGTGATTCAAGCAGGTGGATGAGGACTTTACCCCAGGCATGGTCCAGCACAGCACAGCAGAGCTGCTGGGGGCAGT